CCTCATACGAACTTAGTCGAGCCCTCAAATCACATCAAACAACTTCAAAAACACGAATCGCACTCCAATTCAAGCCTATTGAAACTAAGAAAATTCAAATTCTATAAACGACGCCGAAACCTATCAAAACACGTTCGATTGACTCCAAACTTCACACAAGTCATAATTGACATTACGTACCTACTCTAACTTCCGGAATCGTAATTCCGACCCCGATATCAAAAAGTCCACTCCCGGTCAAACTTTTCAAAAATTCCAACTTTCGCCATTTCAAGACTAATTCTACTACGGACCTCTGAATCACAATCCGAACACGCTCCTAAGTCCACAATCACCTAACAAAGCTAACGGAACCATCAAAACTCTGTTCCGGAGTCGTTTACTCAAAGATCAACATCCGGTCAATCATTTGAACTTAAGCTTTCAACCTTAAGACAAAGTGTCTCATTTCATTCTGAATTCATTCTGGACTTGAGATGATTACCCCGACAAGTCACATAATAGCTATAAAGTACAAAGTGAGCAGTAAATGGGGGAACGGGGCTACAACTCTCAAACTGATCGGTCGGATCGTTACACTTCGCAACTAAATCAATGCTCAACCATGACTTTTTCTTTATAATTAGCCTCCAAACCAATCAAATCTAGACAAATATAGTTCAAGTAATTCGAAATAAATTTTAGAAAATACCCACGAGTGAAAAAGATTCAATCTTTAATGAATTTGAAAAAAGTCAACAAAAGTTAACCCCGGCCTCGCTAGGTCAAAACCCGAGATTCGGACCAAAACCGGATTACCAATTCTTCCCAAACCCGGTTATGTGATTTATTTCGAAATCCGACCTCAATTTGAGGTCTAAATCCCAATTTTACAAAAATTTTAATTTTTACCAAAATCCCTAATTTCTACCATGAAATTCATAGATTAAAGTTAAAAATCAATGGGTGTTTATGGAAATACATCAAAATAAGTTAAAATTCACTAACCAAGGAAGCAGGGATGAAAATCTCTTCAAAATTGCTTCTAGGCCGAGCTCTAGCTTTCAAAAATAGTGTTTTGTGAAATAATCCCGACTTTCAGCTTTTAAAATACCTAGGCATCAGGTATTTTTAGCATTCACGAAGCACTTAACGCGTTCGCGAAGAGCAGTGGCCTATTGACATCCGTATTCGCAAAGCCCTTCACGCATTCGTCAAGTCGTCCCCAGCCTAGCCTCCGCGTTCACGACCTTTTTGTCGCGTTCGCATAGAAGGATTTCCCATGCCCGCCCCCAGATCCCCCAAGTCAACACGTTCACTAGGGGTGAGTCACATTCGCGAAAGGTATTCTCCCCAAAGCTTCGCGTTCGCGACCTACCTCTCGTGTTCGCGAAAAGTACCAGCCCAGGCCCAAACATTCTCCCTTCCCGATCGCGAGAGAAGATTCGCGATCGCGAAGCACAAGACACCAGAAGTAAAAACCAACAGTTCCTACAAGTCCAAAAATGGTCTGAAGCCTATTCGAAACCTACCCGAGCCCCTCGAGCTCTAAACCGAACATGCACACAAGTGTAATAACATCATATACACTTGTTCGCTACCTCAAATTATCAAAATAACATCAAATAATAAGAATCAATCATTAAAACTCAAAAATGTGTACAAGTCCCAGACCCCAATCAAAAATGTGTACAAGTCTAAAATTATCATACAAACCTATCAGAATCTTTAAAATACCGATCCGAGATTGTTTGCCAAGAATGTTGACCGTGGTCAACTCAAATGCCATTTTAAGTCAAAAATTACTTTTTTAAATTTTACATAAAAACTTTCTGAAAAAGACATGGATCGCACACGCAAATCAAGAAACATCACTAATGGAGGTTTCGAAATATAAAAATAAAGACTAATACTCAAAATGACCTATCGGGTTGTTACAAATTTTGCCGGCGCAGAATTCCCCCGAATGTTTTTTTGACCTTAAATGAATGCTAGCTTAATGTGTTATGGTTCTTTCTTATGAATTCTTTGACTTGTGAGAAAATATGATTTTGACGACCAAATTTTGTGGGTTTAAGTTGTCTGGCTTTAGTTTAATTAGAATAGAGAATTTGTCATAAAGCACTATAGTTTAGTGCCTAATAACTATATTTTTTCTAATTACTATTCATAGCTACTGTTCAATTGTTACCAGCTTGTATCACTTGTATTCAAACGCGTAATGAATACAACATATTCATTCACACAACGAATACAATATGTATCAACTATATTCGTTCGCGCAATTATATTTATTTATTGTATTCAGTCGCGTAACAAATACAACATGTATACAAAGGATACAACTTGTACGACAGTATTCGTTCGCGCAAAAAATACAATCAATGCTAAATACAGATATACAAAAAAAAATGCTATTGAGAGTCGAACTCAAGACCTCCGCTAACTAAGCGGACATTCTAACCAATTGAGCTACGAGAACTTATTGCTCTCTTGTTTCAGTTCAAAACAAGTAATCTCTTAATGATTTGCTATAAAATTTAAATATAGTTATTGATGGTAAATTTGCTGAAAATATAGTTACGAATGGTAAATACAGTGTATATGTTTGACATGTTGCGTTTCTTTCCCATTTGAATACTAGTTAATGAACCAAGTTTTTCTGCACATTAGGTCAAATGCATAAGCTGGCCCATTCCTTTTTAAGCTAGTCCTTTCTCTCTTCCATATAACTACTAAATAATAAGGGGGGATTTTCAAAAAGGACTATAATTTGATAGCTAATTACTCCACGTAACTATAATTTTCTTAATTACCATTCGTAACTGATGTATCATTTTCGATATATCAAACGTATACAACCAAACTTAAATTTTGATGTACCAATCTGTTGACAGGATGTAGCAATGAATATAGTTTTGATAGAAAAACTATATCAACTATATATGTTTCGCGCATAATGGTTGTATCAATGAATACAACTTTGGATACAGTCAATACAACCTATGTGAGATTGGATACAAGCTAGAATAATGCATTCAATGAGTGAAAATCAGAAAACAATTATCAAATAGTTCAATTATACACTGTATCAAAAAGTAACAATATCGATAAATAAAGTCAAATACAACCAAATACAACTACATTCTCAATGTATACAGCCAGAGAAGAGAAGAAAGTTAGTCTTAGATGGCATTTTTCGGCCAAGCAAAATATTGTATACACTGTATATATACTTAAAATGGAGACGAATAAATATTCCTCCATATTCTAGAATACACTATATATACAATATTTATCATTTGAAAATCCAGTGATCGGAGAATGAGGCTTCCAAGCTTCAAGTCACCAGAGATGAACTAAAATCCATATATTTACTCTATATTCACCTTTTGAAATCCGGTCATATCTGAGAATAAAATGTATGTACTGTATCATTGTATGTGACTCAATAACAACAAAACAAAAAAATTTTGCCGTAGATGCCGTCTTTTGGCCAAGAAAAATATTATATACATTATACTAAAACTAAAAATAGAGACGAACTAAAATCCGGCCAGATCTGAGAATATACTATTATACTGTATTTACCAAAATCCGGCCAAATCTGAGAATGAGACTTCGAGGCTTTTCATCACGAGAGACAAACAAAAATCCAGCCAGATCTAAGAATACACTATATTTACCACTTGAAAATCCGGCCAAATCTGAGAGATCCTTCACTGTAGCCAAACATTGGTCAGTGATGGCCGTTTGCCGAAGAGGACGAAGCTTTGCCGACGGAGTAGCAGCAACAGACGAGACCGGCAGAGCAGCAGCGACGGCTGAGATTGAATTATTTGGGAAGCAGGTAATGAAAAAAGTGGCACTTGTGATTTGGGTTTGGTGCATAGAGATGTTGTAGTTGAGATGGAATTTGAAAGTGGGTATTTTCTATAAAACTCAACGTATAGCTATGTATTATAATTATTTATTTATGATAAATATAGTGTATTAGTTAGTTATGGGGTGTAAATTTTTGAAAAATAAATACCATCCTTTTTCAAATAATTTCCCAAACTAACTCAAAAGGAATATGCCAGTTGAAGATTCAATAATTTCATTCTAACTAATGTCAGGGTTACCCGCTCCAAAATAGAACCATAAGCAAAAATGGCAGGGTCGTGGCTATATGTCTTGACTCAAACATTTTTTTTAAAAAGCACCACTGTTTAATTAATACAAGTAAACTTCAAATATCTAGGTACGATACACAAGCCGAGTTCGGGGCTATATATCCGTCTTGTTAGTGTAGGCAAGGGTCGCGGCTATGCGTCCTAATTGAGATAATTAATAGTTCAACCAATAAAAGCGGATATAAAAAAAATATAGTTTATCCAAAAATAATCTCAGCCAAGTTTGAGTTAATAAAAGTGATTATGCTAGAATCACGGGATTCAGGAGTGTCTCACACCTTTTCTCTACTTAACAGGATTCCTTACCCAATCTTTTATTTTAACGGACCATCAATAAGGAGTCAAACATTCTATTTGATTAGGGATTCAATAAACGGTGACTTGAAACATCATAACTGAATTTCAAGTGGCGACTCCATAATAAATAAATAATCCCTTCTCAAATTCATCATTTTAATTGAAAAATGTTCTATTTTTTGAGAAAAAAAAGGAGGTGTGACAACAATCTACCGTAATAACTGGAATTAGAATTCAAGTTCAGCAGGATGAGTATGATGATGATAAAGTGATAGCGTGGGGCTCGATTTACTACTCTTAGGATCTGGAAGACACGCGATCAATAAGGTAGTAAAGGACTTCGATTGCCATAAATACTCTGACGATGTAGGTGGCACATAGTGGATCTCAAAAATTGACTCATGGATCATGGTAACGAGCCTACGTATATGGTACAGGAATTTCTTAATGGTATGAGCCATTTTTAAAAAAATCGTATGGGCTTGACTAAATGCAACCAATATCATATCATATTACGAGCATCTTTGGGCTAATTGAGCCCAACAATTATGTTACATAATTCTGGACCAACTACTTTTCATGGGCCAAATAGTACGGGCTAGCCAGTTTTCGGACTGGTAATTAAAAAATAGCCTGCGTTTGCAAAGTCATTGAAAAATAGTCACTATTTTACTACAATATGGAACGGTCCAGCATAATATACTGGAAATTGGTGCACCTGTGTATGAACTTCCAGCATATTATGCTGGAACCCCAACACGCGAAAAGTTCCAGCATAATATACTAGAGATTGGAGCACCTGTATATGAACTTTCAACATATTATGCTGGATCGGTATATTATACTGGAACTCCAGTATAATATGCTGGAGTTCCAGTATATTATACTGAAACTTCAGTATATTATGCTGGAATATTTTTCGGATTTTGAACAGTGTTTTCGTTCAGATTTATCTTTACATGAAAAGTGACTAAATTTTAATTACTTTTTAAACTGTAACTATTTTTTAATTACCACCTGTAAATCTTGCTATTTTTGAATTTCTCTCCTTTTCATGCTATGCAAAGACTCATTTTTTCATCCAGCACACATTTTCTACAAAAAGCTTAATTTTATGGATGACAGAAAAGGGAACAGAGTAGGAAAGTCATCTATCACGGCCGAAGGACAAAGGTAAATGTGTATAAGTCATCTCTTCTTAACAAAATTTAACCCCTTCCTCCCTCTCCCCTTCCCAATTGAAGTTGTATACACTTGCTCGGAGGAAGGGTGGTAGAAAATGCTAGGGCAAGCATTGCATACTATTAAAGTTGAAGACAAATTAAAAGAGTTAAAATGCAAGGCCAAACCCTTGGATTACGCTTAAGGCAGAATGACACAGTTATCCACAAAAATAAAATTATTTACCCTTGCATATCTATTTATTTTTCTATCGATTAAACTAATTACATTTTTTACCCATAGTAATTTTTGTGGAAAATTTTCTCTTTTTGCTCCAATACTTTTTTATTTCTATGCTTCTTTTCTTTTTTTTCTTTCTTTTCTCCTTTTCTTTTTTCTCGTTTTCTTCTTATTTTTTTCTTTGTTCCTTTTCTAATTATATTTAACTTATTTTTTTTTCATAATCTAATTTCATTTACTGTTTTCACTATTTTTTATTACTCTTTTTTTATACAATAAGAAAAAATGACTGATATAGTAAACATTTGTTCACATTTGTTTTAATATAACTAGTATAATATACCTTTTGTCTTTTTTCTCATTTTTAAAATTTAACTATTAAACTGAAATAATATTAGTTGTCACTTGATCTAATTTACTGAATATCACATTGACTGCTGCTGAGCACCACAAATTACATAATCAGATTCTAAGAATATACACGTGATTACCATGCAAACCTTGATCTCCTTTCCTATAAATATCAGTACGCACTCTACCATTAGCAGTAACACAACCAGTTATGGAGCAAGAAACTATAATCTACGGCCACCAAATCTCCATATATACTAGTTAGAATAGAAATGATAATAAAATATTAGAAAATGCAATAAACGTATAAGTAGCAAAAAAGACTTCTAGTACCATATGATACCAATATGGTATACACGTATACCAACAGAGTATATGATTGCTCTAGAATATTGCTACAACTCTCTGCGACTATATTATTGTACCAAAATATTTTTATGCAATAAAAGTATGAGAAAATTACATGCTCGCATTGCAAGCTAAATATTCGCAAAGCAACTTGCTCATTTTGTATACTAACAGGGTATATAGTTGTATGGGGTCGTTCCAATAATTGCCTATAACTATAAAAACTATTACATAATACACATAATCTATGTCCCTCGGCACAAAAAAATTCCAGCACTGCAAATCATGTTCATATAAATAATTTCAGAATAGTAATCACTTAAAAATACAGCTAAAACAACCAAAAAAAATTCAAACTACCATATGATACCGATATGGAATATAACTATACCAACATGGTATACAACTTTACTGGTTAATTTCCGATAACTGTATGACTATACTATTATTACATAACACACATGCATAAATAGAGAAATAAAAACATAGTGTACCACATATTAATATAATACAGTATTTCAAGATATTGTACTATATTACTATTATTAAAACAAAATTAAATAGTGTACCAACACTACTAGAAATTCGACAAAAACCGATCAAGGTCGACCGACCAACTTTGATCGGTCAAAACAAACGGCCAAAAAACCGGCCAAAGTTGGTCGTTTTTTCAAAATATTTTATTTTTTAAATTTATTTTACGAAACCGACCAACTTTGGTCGGTTTTCTTTGGCGCAAAAATGCGGGAAACTATTTTTGAGTCCCGCAAAATTTATTTTTCAAGAAACCGACCATCTTTGATCGGTTTTTCTATTAAAATAAATAAAAATTAATATTAAAAAATGACCTAAATTGGTCGGTTAATTCGGCCGGTCATTTTAAAAAACCGACCAACTTTGGTCGGTAATTTATTTTATAATAAAATCGACCAACTTTGATCGGTTATTTTCGTGCGAAAATACAATTAAAGAGTATAAATCAAATAAAAGACAGTCTTAAAACAAAATGCACCAATGGTCTAGTGGTAGAATAGTATCCTGCCACAGTACAGTCCCCGGTTCGATTCTCAGATGGTGAATCTTTTGATTACATAATTAAAAAATTGACCAACTTTGGTCGGTTTGTTTTTGCAATATTTATTTTTTGAATTAAATTGACCGACCAAAGTTGGTCGGTAATTTCCGAACAACTTTAGTCGGTATGCCTTTCCGACCTCTAAAATACCGTCCACACGTAAATGGTCACATTTTGGACGGTTATTGGCTATTACCGACCAAAGTTGGTTGGTGTTTTTGATCGGTTTTTACCGAATTTCTAGTAGTGTAATTAAATGCAGCTAATACAACCAAAAAATGATTCAACTAGCATATGATACCAATATAGTATATAACTATACTAATAGGGTATATAGTTGTACGGGGTCATTCCAACAACTGCATATAACTATAAAAAATATTACATAATACACAAAATCTATGTCCATAGGTACAAAAAAATCCAACACAGCAAAACATGATCATATAAATTATTTCAGAATAGAATTCACTTAAAAATGCACTTAAAATAATCAAAATATATTTCAACTACCATATGATACCAATATGACATATAATTATACCAATAGGGTATACAATTCTACTAATTAATTCCATGCAACTATATATGACTATACTACTATTACATAATACACATGCATAAAGAAAAGAATAAAAACATAGTGTACCACATATTAATATAAGAATGTATTTCAAGATATTGTACTATAATACTATTATATAAAATAAACGCATAAAGAAAAAATCAAATGATTATATAATACACATGCATAAAGGAAAATTAAAAGAATTCAAGATATTGTACTATTCTACTATTACTAAAGAAAAATCAAATAGTGTACCGATTAAATATAGCTAATACAACCAAAAACTATTCCAGCTAACATATGATATCAGTATAGTATATAGCTATACCAATATTGTATACAATTGTACGCAAAGAGTTTTTTTTAAAATTCAATTATTAAACTGAAATAATATCAGTTGCCACATAATCTAATTACGCAACCCTACTGTCACGACCCAAAATCCGCCTAGTTGTGATGGCACCTAACCCAACCCGCTAGGTAAGCCAATTAACTACTAACCAATTCCAATAACAATTAATAAAGCAATTAAGTAAAGAAATATCTGAATCTAATACATTCCCCAAGAACTGGTAGTACAAATCAAGAGCTTCTAAGAATAGAGTTTACAAAGCTGAAATGAATTAAATATATAGTCTGTTTGAAAAGTACATAAATAGAGTTTTCATAGATCTAAAGCTACCACGAACAAGGGGCAGCTACAACCGGGACGCAAGTACATCTTCAAATCCAGCTTCCATCGAACCCAATAATATCAACGGCCAACATCTGCACACAAGGTATAGAAGTGTAGTATGAGTACAACCGGCCCCATGTACTCAATAAGTAACAAACCTAACATTAGGTTGAAAGTAGTGACGAGCTAACAAAAAGGTCGGGTACAACACAAATATTCCACCATAGTTCATAACATCATAGTACAATA